TATATTAGAATTAATAATTATGTTAAGTATAATGAAGAGGTAGAAAAATATGAGAATGGTGAAATAGTAAGGATATGACAGTTATGTGCATAAAAAACATGGGTATTATATATTCCCTCCTAATCCCAGCTTTGTTATTTGTTGTGTTATAACTGATTGGAAATATATTATATTGCTTTTTAGGATCAACCAGTATTTTAGCATGTACCTACAAGCTATTTTCTTTTTAGAACTGCAAGTGGCTTAATATAGACTATTGTCTCTCTGTCATTGTATCAATATATAATATAAACTGTTTCATTTTAGTATTATGCTTGTGAACACAATTTAAATACTCATATATATAAAAGTTAAATTAGCAAAGATAAAACTTTATAAAGAATCTTATTCTGAGAAATATTTTAATTATTCTGAACTTTACCTAATGCAATAATTACAATTAATACCTAGCAATTTCTTTTTCAGTGTTACGACAGAGTTCATGGGATAGGATTATGTGGCAGGAGGTAAGAATGCATTTAAATTTTTAACTTGGTAATAAACACCTACTTTGTACTTAAATTTCCAGTGTTTTACATGTGAAACATATCCTTAAGAATTATATTATGGATACTTTATAGGCGAGGAAGTAGAGGACCAAGGAGAATATGTATTTTGCTCAAGTTATTACAGCCAGCAAGTGGTGAAAATGGGGCTGGGCCTCAAGTCTGTGTGGCTGGAGGTCTACAAAGTTTTTAATGCACCTCAGGGTTGTCTCTGTGCATAGAATATTTAAAGATAATGCTTTAAAAACTGTTGCTGTGGGTACAAGTCAGCTTGTATATGACATCTCATGGAATGTTGTCATGAATATTTGCCTTAGGAGTAGGTCTTAGTTCGTCTGGGTTGCTACAATGAAATACCTTAGACTAGGTGACTCATAAACAACAGAAGTTTATTTCTTGTTGTTGTTGGTTTTTTTTTGGTTTTTCTCCGGTAGTAGGAACCGAACTCATGACCTTGCGCTTGCCAGGCAGGCGCTTTTTGCCACTGAGCTAAATCCCCAGCCCCAACAAAAGTTTATTTCTCACAGCTCTGGAAGGTGGGAAGTGCAAGACAAGGGCACTGGCAGATGACGCCTTCCCCATAGATAGTGCTTTCTGTCTCTGTCCCCCCTGAGTGGCATGGACAAGGCAGCTTTGTGTGGCCTCTTCTATAAGGGCATTAATTCCATTCATGAGGGCTCCACCTTCATGATCTGATCTCTTGCCTAAGGTTAGGATTTCAACATAGTGAATTTTGGGGGAACACAAATATTCAAATCAGATACAAACTAAAATATCAGCTAGCGTGATACTGAATGTTTGGGGGATAGGTATTGGCTTTGTCCCCACCAACCATTAATTGATGACCAATGTAAGAGTCTTTGGATAGTTAACTTCAGGAAAGGATTAATTTCTAAATATCATTAATATTTTTTCTCAGAGTGGTAAAAAGTTATGACTCAATAATAACTCTATTTTGCTTTTCTTATTGGGATTCAGTGAGAAATAACATTTCACTTCTAGTGACAAGGTCTCAGGGCAGCTGCGTGGCAGTCCAATTCCTGTGAATGGGAAGCCTGGGGAGCGGAGAAGGGAGGAGAGGTGGGTGCTGTGGTGGGCTTCTTGCTGAGCAGCAGGCAAAGGCTGTGGGTTGACTGTGGTTTGCCTCTTAAGGGCTCATGTGCGGGAAGCTTGGTTCATAGAGTGTCAATATGGAAGGGGTGGAATCTTTCAGAGGTGGGGCACAGTGGAAGGTCATCGGCTCCTTAAGGACTGAGCCCTTGGAAGGAATTAGTGTATGCTTGCAAGACCTTGGTTATTTTCTGCAAGAGGGATCTGTTACAAAAGAGCAAGCTGGGCCCTTCCTGTCCTTCCTGCTTTCACACGTCTTCCTTTCATGATGCCATCTGCCATTGTGACGCAGCCCATAGGGCACTCACCAGCACAGAGGTGATGCCAGCAGCATGCTCCCACGTCTCCAGAACTGTGAGCTAATGCACCTTTTTATAAAATATCCAGCCTCAAATATTTTGTTATAGCAACAGAAAATGGACGAAGACCAATTCCCCATGATGAATGTAATCATTAGGTATATTTATAAAAGACAGTGACTGTGCAGCAAATGATAACGTATCCCCAACACCTTGCACTGGCAAAGTAAGTTAAGCAGCCAAAGCCAGGGACCCAAAAATTCTTGCTCCTCTGAACCCTTTCTATATCACCCCATGGTAGGTGCTTAAAAGGTTAAGACACAGTTCATTTGGGGGTGCAGTGAACAAAGAAGATAAAAGGAATTTGTAAGAAATATGATGGTAAATGACTTTCAGCATGTCTGCTGCAGGTTCATGGGTGCAAAATTTTATATGTTGATATTGTTTCTGTAGGAAAATTTAGGTTTAATTGCACTTTCACTTCTCTTATCACAGTACTTTTTTAGACACTGTTGTAAGTTAGTTAATATGTGAGTTATAAATGGTTTATTATTCATTACAATGTGAAAGTCTGTGTAAGGTGTGAATTATCCATCTTCATTTCTCTGCTCATCTTGAATTTATCCTCTATGTTTTTAAAGGCACGTTATAGCTTCAAGGCTTTCCTCACCCTGCAGGCCCCACATGTATAACTTCAACCACATGTCTCTCCTCTCACAGAGCAGCAGAGGAAAACAGACCATAAAGCAGGCCATTACAGATGTGATAATGTAGGAATGCCACATCACTGCAAAAACAGTACTGTCTTTTTCTACCACTCGTCCAGTGCTAACACATTTCATTCCACACTACAGCAAGATTCACTACCTGCAGCACTATTCACACGTGAGACTAGACCATACTTTATCGTGGGGCTGTCCTGTGCTTTGTGAGATGTTTAGCTGCATCCTGGGCAAAATCATCCTGGTTAAGAATAACTGCTCCAGAGGAAAGAGTCTTACCAGGAAATGCAACTGAAATATTACTAGGGCGACAAAAGGATTTTCATAGTGTACTTTTTTTGGGAAAACACTTGACATGGTTACATCTGCTCGTGCTTTTGAAACTCACACTTCCCTTTTCTCTTTCCTGGTTTAAAAGGTAAACGTGGGTGACATTATAAAGGCCTTGAATGGGGAGTTCCTTCCTGCAGACATGGTCCTGATTTCTTCCAGGTTAGTTCTGTTAAGAAGCCTTTGAGAAACGTTTATCTTGAACTGCAAATTTTAAGAAAACCAAGAGCAGGAGATACTTTTCCCCACCTCATCATTTTCATCTTATTGTAGACCAGTGACTGCAGGTTTTCTGGTAAGGGACAGATAGTCAATGCATTCAGCTTCATGGGCCATGCAGTCTCTCTTGGAACTATTCAAATCTACCTTTGTTAGAAGAGACATAAGCAATATAGAAACAAATGCAGGTGGTTATCCTCCAATAGTGCTCTACTTATAAAAATAGGTAAGGGCCACCTGTGGCCTGTTGGTTGTATTTTGTCAACCCCTATTCAATACTTTTATTACCTTTAATTTCCTCAGATATATTTTTTTCTATTCTGATGACAAATTAATTTGATTCCTTCTGTAGTTTGTACAGACCTTCTCCTCAGCTGAAAAAAAAGTAAACTTACCTTGTTTCAGTCTCATGGCAATGGTGGGGTATTCCCGTTCTAAAGGCATACTAAAACAGATTAAGTAATTTATACAGTATCCCCAGATGGACTTGAGTTAAGCCTAGATTTCAAAACATAGCTGCTATTGATTTTTTTTTTGTGGAAATATATTTATGTTTTATTCACCAGCTGTTTGGGAGGGAACTTTACAGAATTCTCTATAGGAGATACTTCCTTCCCAGTGGGTCTTATTTTACTACCTGCCTTTTTGTGCCTATGTTGAGTCCTCTGGGGAACTCAGCCACCTCCTCCCTGTGTGCACTGTAAGATCAGGCGCTGGACTGGGGTGGGCAAAGGTTAAATTAACCACAATAAAGGACAAAGGCCAAGTCACCTGAGAGTGACATGGTTGGACAGCTGGGTCCCAGGCCAAGTTACAGTCATCTTCAAGGGATCCATAAAACGTTTGCAGACTTCTAGGCACACACTGCCTTGGAGCGTGGATTTCTTGGGAAGAGAAATGGATTCATTCTGGAGCCATTCTCTCGAAGCCTCTAGAAAAGCGGCAGTACCTAAACAACCATTTATTCTGCCAGGTACATTTGCTTCTTTGTCCTCAGTGCATTAACCCAGTCAACGAAGCATCTTAACCACCGCTGATGTATATTTACCTCTTGGTTTTGTCCCAGAGTACTGGGTTGACCCAGGAGACACAAGCAGTACCACCAGAGGTTTTGTTTTTGTAACTGCTATGTCATTTTTATGTGTGACTTTTTTTTGGTCCTTTCCTTGCTCCCAGTAAAGCACTGGCTGAATGTTTTGGGGAGGGTAGGGGAAGATAAAAATCATTATTCTTGGAGTTTTTATTTTCCTGGTGGGGTTTTTGGATTATATTTTCTAAGTAATTCACCCTGCTTACATTAAAACAACAAAGGTGCACATACACTTTTCTAAATGTTATTTCAAGTGGCAAAAAGAACAAGAAAACCAGAAATCCCGGAAGGAAATCATACCCTCAGAGTCCTAAAGGGCAATCTCATGCAAACCTAGGCTTTAACCTTGCGGGTGTCTGTCAATCTCCAAACAATCTCCTTGAGGTTTCCCTTTGTGGAACTTTGGGAGTGAGGAGAAGCTGAGGGTGATCTGTAATCAGGCAAAGGATCCTAGCTGTAGTTAAGCTGTCAAATTAAAACAATCCTTTCTGGTGGGTCTTTAAGAGAGCATCAAACTGTATGAATAATGCATGCCTGGAAATAAAGCTTTGAATTTATGGCCAGTCCAGTTTTTTCCCTCAGTACCAGCGATGTGGGTTGTTATTTTTCAAAGTTACCACTGAGCTAGAGGCAGGTGATGGGACCAGGAAAAGGTGAAACATCAAAAGCTCATTTTTTTACAAAGATTTAGCCGTCTTTCTTGAATAAAATCTCACCGGGCTACTTTGGGCCTTTAATTTTCAGAGTTGAGAAAAAGTTAGTCCTGACCATTTTGCCAGTTGTCTCACTGTTTTTAAAAGGAGAGGGTTTGTGGAGGTCTTTAGTCTGTCACATCACTGGTATCTTTAAGGAAGCACTGGTTTTATATAAAACTACATACAGCATTAGTCGTTATTTTGGGATACAGGAAGGAGTCTCCCACACCCACCAGGATGACTTCTGAATACGTGCATTGGATGCCTGAAACTACATGCACATAGTGCTGGATGCTACATTTGCTTAGTTTTTTCCTGTACCTATAGACCTGTGGAAAAGCTCAAGTTTCTAAATTGGGCACAGCAGGAGATGAACAATTACAACTAATAATAAGATAGAGCAATTATCACACTACACTGTGCTAAAAGTTACGTCACTGTGGTCCCTGTCTCAAAATATTTTATTGACCTCTCTTTACACTTCTTCTGTGATTACACGATACACGACAAAGTGAGGAGATGAAGTGAGGTGAATGAGGCATTGTTAAGTTGCTATGTAACGGTTACAGAAGCACCACAGTACAGCAATGGTGGATCTCACAATGCAGACAGATACAAAGCAATTAATGGGAGAGTAGTGTATACAGTGAGGATACACTTCACAAGGATGTGATCATCCTGGGGAGACAGAAGAGGATGATGTATGATTTCACAGTGCCGCCCCAAATGAGCACAGTTTAAAAATTATGAATTGTTTGTCTTTAGAATTTTCAATTTAATATTATTGGACTGCAGTTAATTATGGAGAACTGAAGCCACAGAAGGCAAAGTGCAAATGAGGAGGGACTGTGGCCTATGCTTGTGGCTAGTTAAATTAATACAGATTATTATATTTTAAACTTCATTATTTTAGTGACTGAGATACAATTAAAACAGATACATGAGACTCTAATGGACAGTTTTTTAAAAATTCTTTCTGGATTTTCTTTCAAAGTGATTGATTTGCATAATTGAGTTGGCATCTGACATGGAATAATCTGGCAAGGCAAGTGTTAACTCAATACCTTGGTTTCCTAATTGTTCTGATCGGATGGAAACAGAAAAGTCTCAAGTGTAGTTTTTGTTTCAGGGCTTCTGCTCTGTCTACACTTGTCCTGGAAGATATAATCTCACTCTAATGGGCACGGAGTCTGTGCCTCTGGGAATTTTAATGGGCTTATTTGAGGAAATATCAGAATCGTAGATTTGACCTCACTCGTGTCTGTTCTGACAGATAACGTCTGTCACCTTCATCAACTTCCCTTTCTGAGGTTAAAGAGTAATCATACAGCACTGAAGGGTACAACCTTTAGAACTGAGCTATTATACACGATGGATTTTAGGCTGGTAGGATCAGATTGCTAATATCTTCTGGAAAAGTGGTTGTTTGTAGTTTTTTCAGTTTTGAAGACTGTTCACTCCTGTCTGTCACATTTCATACTGTCCATTATTTGGAGAATCATTTGATGAGACATTCAATATTCTTTGTTTCGTTTTCCTTAGTGAACCTCAGTCGATGTGTTACATTGCAACATCTAACCTGGATGGAGAGACAAACTTAAAGATAAGACAGGTATCTTTACTTACCCTAATTTTATATCTGAACTACCCAGGTCAAGTTGTGTTAGGTACCAGCTGTTTTTTCACAAAGACAATTCTCTCTTCACTATTGAGTGGGTGCCATTTACTCACATCTGGTATGCAAAGTGTACTTTATCATTATTGTGTCACTGTTATTATTACAAGGAAGACCTAGGTGAAAGTATTACTATTTCTAGAAAAAAGTATATAGTCTAAAATTCAAGTCATAAAGCGTTACAAAACTTGATACATACTTTTTTGAAGCTATTTTCATTAGTGCTATTCTTGTGACCTAATATCATAAGTAGATCAAAAAGGGAGTATCACTGAAGGTTAGGTGATCTTATACTAGTTGTTTGTAAATTACCTTTTGAATTTCGGAGAAACTTGTGATTATAAATGTGAGGAGATATTTTTCTGTTTTATTAGTTTGCTTAGTGAGGAAGCCTCTGATTTTACATTTGCCTATACACATGTTTGTTTGCTAAGTTTTTTGGAAAGCTTTAATTGAATTGGAAGTGGAAAAATTGAATTTAAAGAGATATATGACCTTTGCAAAAATGGTACCAATAATACAGAAATATATGTAGTCTATTCAACCTTCTCTACTGCCAAATTCTATCTTTATCCCCAGTAATAATAATAATAATAGTTTGTTGGTAACTTACAGATTTGCTTCTTAAGACAAAGTCTCATGATACAGTTCAGACTGGCCTTGAACTCACTATGTAGCCCAGGCTGGCCTCAAACTCGCTGCAATCCTTCTGCCTCAGCCTCCCAAGTGCTGAGATTACAGGTGTGCATCAGCACACCTGGCACCTTACAGATTTTTTAAAATGCAATTACAGTCTTATTTGTGGAAAAATGGAGTATGCTTGTATTTTCCTGCTAGATACAAGTAACACCATTGGACAATATTGGGCGGTGGGTTAGAAAACAAACACAAGACGATTCTGAAAGATTGGAAGAGGAAGGCAGCTGAGAACACCATGACGCTCAGTTCCTTGGGGTTTCCTTGTGCTTCGTATGTCCAAGCCTTGGAGTCAGAAACCCAGGAAGACTGACGGATGTGAACACAGAATGCCACACAGCAGCCTCCTCTAACTAGTTCACATACCGAGAAAGAGACAGCCCAGCAAAGCAGAACACTTTAAAGCACAGCAACTGTATATCATAATAAAAATGTGGCCACACTCTCACCCATTCCAGCAAAGGCCAAGCAGGTAACCTAGATTTCTGGGCTGTAGTGGAACATCCCAACTCTCCTTTGAAGGTAGGGTTAGAGAAGGCCAAGCAGGGAGCCAGGACTTCCATTCCCACCAGGTGTAGTGAGGTCCTTGTGATTTTCAGGGTCAGTGGATGGAGACCACGCTGACACTAGTAAGTGCTCCAATCCCTTCAAGCGAGGAAGATGTCCAAGGAGAGTCACAACCTCCACCCTTACCCAGCTGCAGTAAAAAGCCACTCCTCCCCTGTTGGCAGAGACTCAGTGTGCACTGTCCCTGTGTAGCAGTCATGAGGCAGCATCTCCTTCCCCTGCTGCAGTGGTATCAGCAGAGGCCAGCTAAGACAAGAGGGCTACTGAAGTTCCAGAGTTTCACTATGTATTGTCCCAAGTTTTCAAGTTTTAATTGAAAAAAATCTTCATACCCGAACCCAAGAAGATCTCAGACTAAGTGAAAAAGATAATACATTGATGCCAACACCAAGATAACAGATGCTAGAATTATCTGACAGGTTTTAAGGCAACCATCTCACACACACACACACACACACACACACACACACACACTTCAAGGAGCAGTTATAAATATGCTTGAATATTGAACTTTAAGTGATACATTCCTTTTGTAAAAATGATATAAATCCCAGATGAGGTACAAAAAAAAAATCTCAGCAAAGAAAGAGGAGATACAAAAATAAACTAAATGGAAAGTTTAGAAATTAAAAATACACTGAACTATTTTAAAAGACCTCATGGGATAAGCGTAACATCAGAATGGAAGGATCGGGGAGAAGAAGCAATGAAAGGCAAGGGAAAGAAATTATTCATGTTAATGATGGATAGAAAATAGATGGAAAAAAATGAGCAGGGCCTCAGAGACCTGTGACAGTGGACTTTCTGATCACCAGAGTCTTGAGAGAAAGGGAAAAAAGAGAATCATTTGGCTGAAACCCTCCCAAATTTGCTAAGGACATGATCTTTAGATTCAACAAGCTAAGTGAAGCATAGAAGATGAATATGAGTGAGCCCATCACAATTTGATCATAGTCCAATTCCTAAAGCAGTGGGAGAGAAATGACACTTTACCTGTAGTGTAAATAATAGTAGATTTATCATTAACAAACAAAATCCATGGAAGTCAGGAAAAGTAGCACCACACTTTCAAGGCTGTAAGACAACAATTGTCATCCAAGAATTACACCCAAAAACATACCTTTAGAGAATGATGGAAAATCTTGACATTTTCATATAGAGCAAAACTAAGAGGTTGTGTTGCCAGAAGTGCCACTTTGAAAGAATGGTTGAAGGAAAGTCTCTCAACAGAAAGAAAACAATTTAGAAAGCAACGTAAGAAAGTGAGAACACAGGAAGTGAAAATAAGGCTAAATACAATAGATTTTTTTTCTCTTCAATTTAAAAAGTTATGATGATCAATGAAATATTATGACGATCAATGTCAAAAAATTATGAAACTATTTGATATAGTTTTAAGTGCATGTCAAGAAAATATTTAAGCTATATACTGTACTGGGGGAGGACATAAAAGGAAACAAAGCTTGTATAATCAAGTTTGTAAAAACAATGATGCAAATACACTCTGAGGAGTTGTGTATAAATGATGTAGTACTTAAAGCAGCCACTAAAATAGCTCTGTGAAAAAATACACTGAAAACACTATTCATAAATTAAATTGGAGTTCTAAAAAATGTTCAAGCATCCGTAAGAGAACAAGAAAGAGAAAAGAAAAAAATAAATAAAAATGAAAACAAACCCAGAGGGAACAAAGAGAAGAAATCAGTTACTATGTTAAATGTAAATGGTCTAATTTACCAATTATAAGACATAGAATAGACTTAAAAATATGACCCAACTATATACTGTCTAAAGGAAACTCACTTCAAATGTAATGAAAGAGATGGTATAAAGTAAAATAATGAAAAATTCAATATAACCAAGGATAAATAAGAAGAAATCAGGAGTGACCATGTTAATAATCAGATAAAGTAGATTTAAGAGCAAAGGAGGGGCTGGGGATTTCGCTCAGTGGCAAAGCACCTGACTGGCAAGCACAACATCGTGAGTTGGGTTCCCGGTACTGGAGAAAAACCAAAAAAAAAAAAAAAAAAAAATGCTATTCAAGATAAGGATCTTACTAGACTAAACAGGCTAATTACATGATGATAAAAGTGTCTACTCAGCAAAAAGACCTAGTGACCCTAAGATAAATACATGAAAAAACAAAGCTGCAAAGCATGTTAAGCTACCACTGATAGAACTGAAAAGAAATATGCAAACTCATTATAGTTGGATACTTCAAGAACAATGATCATACTAGGGATATAGTTCAGTGGCTCAGAGCTTGCCTGGAAAGTGTGAGGTATTGAGTTCGATTCCCAGTACCAAAAAAAAGGGAACAGTGATAATAACAACCAGACCGAAAATCCTCAAGGATATAGAAGAACTCAACACCAACTAAAAGGATCTACTTAATACTTATAGAACATTTAACAGTAGGGTGTCACAGAAGAATACCCAACAACAGAAGCATATTGCTATTTTTAAAGTGCTCACAAACATACAAGACAGATAACACCTGAGTCATAAAACAAATCTGCTAAGATTAAGGGAATAGCAACCATTCAGAATGTACTCTCCAACTATTTATAGAATAAAACTCTCCAACTATTATAGGAATCAATAATGGAAAGATAACAGGAAAATCTCTAAATACTTGAAATAAATCAACTAGCTCTATACATAATAAAGAAATTGAATTAATAATTTAAAAATGACCTCCCAAAAAATCCAGTCTCTCTACTACAGAATTCTATTAAGCATGCAAAGGAAAATCAACACCAATTCTACCTGCTGTCAGAAAAAAAAGGAGAAGGAATCACTTCTTAATTCATTTCTAAAGCTAGTATCATGTTGATTCCGCCAAAAGAAGAAAGTTTTATCTTAAAATAAAACAAACTACAGACTGAGAAGAAAATATTTGTGAGCCCACATATTGGACAAATGACTGGTATCTGTATTATATAAATAATGTCAAAATGTAAACATAAAGGAAAAAGAAACACTTGATACCAGAGGCATAGGCAAGATTTCTTGATGAGGGCCCCAATAGCATAGGAAATAAAGCAAGAATCAACGTATGGGGCGACATCAAATTTATATAGTCAAGGAAATAACCAATAAAATGAAAGGACACCATACAGAAAGGACAACATAGAAAATCTTTGCTAGCTCTTCTGACAAAGGATTAATATCTAGAGTACATAAAGAACTACCTCCTCCCAAATAGCACAGTCATTAAATGAGGAAGTGAACACGGAATTTTCAAAAGAAATAGTATAGTTGGTCAATAAATATATGAAAAAATGTTCAATATCCTTAGTCATAGGGAATTAAAAGTCAAAACTGCATTGAGATTCCATCTTACTTTGGTCAGAATGGCTATTATCAAGAATGTAAAAATAGCCAGGCATGGAGGCACATGCCCATAATCCCAGCACCCTGGGAGACCGAGGCAGGAGGATAGCATTTGAGCCCAGCT